TCTAGGATTGTCTTCTCCATTTTACATCAATCCACTATGTTTTGTGTTTCTTATATAATACTTGGTTGGTAGATATTATTGTTACTGTGGGGAAATGGATGCAGCATTTCCCTGACTGAGCACTAACACAATAATTGCACATATAACTGAAGGTTTTCAGGGTAAGCCAGCTTGTTCAGTTTTCCTTATTGTAACCAGTTTTTTTGTGCCATACTGGCCCATGGGGTAGTGAAATTGACTAAACTCAATTGCAAGTTTCTATTCTAGTCCATTTCACTCCAAAGGAAAACTTAAAGAAACAAGAGTTTTGGGGTGAAAACCCTATAACACCCTCAGTTCATTTATAAAAGACTACCTGTGATGTTAATAAGCAGCCTCCCTTTCATATTCATAAACCCTTTTAATTTTTTTTTAAAATAAAAAGGTTCTAAAGCTACCTTGGACAGTGGGAAGGGGCAAGAGAGAGGAAGTTATTACTCTGTCTGATAATTAGTAGTGCTGTCTGTCTATGGTGTGTGTGTAACTTTCCTATATTCTTCCCTCCAATCTGTGGTGCTACCTGCTGGTATGCCAGTATACACAAGCCAAACATTTGCCCTCATGCCAGGTAGGCACAGTCCCAAGGAAAAGAGTATAGCAAGTAAGCAAGAGTCATTGCTGCTTATATTTAGTCAAACTGAAAGCCTCCTCATGAGCCAGTAAGCCAAAAAATATGATTGACATAAATAATTTGAAAAGATAAACTTCTGTGCATGATCCTCTTTGGCAAGATGTGTGTGTGATTCTGCTTATTCGATTTAAACATAAGTAGCGTATCTGCAGATTCACTCTCTTACCCAATCGACCACAATCTTCTTGAAATCTAAATTGGTGCTGGAATACTGGTCAGAGCCTAATCTTTGGGAATATTACCAACTGTTGTAGCTGTTCAGTTTGTATTAGCTATAACAGTGTTAAAGAGTGGGAGACTGTCAGTTCGGGTTTTGATTCGTAAAGCTATGCTTTCATATGTTAATTTTGGCTTTTTTATACTAGAGATGAAATGGTTTAAAATATAACAAAACCAGTTGTCCAGATATCATGGCAGAACCCAATCCAAAAGCTGCGGTACCATAGGCAGTTGAAGAACCATTGCTCAGCGTGATCTTTGTCTCAAAGGTTTGGACCATAAAAAGCTTCTGCTTGTGCCAGCTGTCCTTCACATTGCAAAATGATTTCCACCATGGACAAAAGGGACATATTATAAAATGCTTCCCAGGCTTATATCTTTTGATATTGTATGTTCCAATAATCACTTGCAAGGCTAAGAGTAACAGCCTTATAGCATTTTATATTTAAAAAATGGTTTATGGAACTTAAAACTAATTTGCAAATATTGGGCCAGAGCAAAAACACCTAGTTGATAACTTCAGAGCTGGAAGCAAAACATGTTGCTTATTAGATTTTAGGGTGCTGTTTATTGATCACTGAGTAATGTCTCACCTCTTAGCTGCCTGTGGAAAGTGAGAGTTTTAACATTTCTGTGATTCACCTATACCTAATATCATTTAGTAATGTTCTGTCAAGTGCTGAAAGAAGTGTGTGTATGTACGTAGTTCCAGTAAGAATATTTTCATAATGCTGTATCTTGCGGCATTATCTTGTGGCAGCTTGATCTATGTGGGCAAATAGTAATGTTTTTAACTAGAATTTATTTTGATGTTAAGTATAATACTATGGACAGTAAATTTTGTACTGGAAAAACATATTAAAGACACAGAGTAAGACCTATTTATCAAGCTTAACTAAAACTATTTTCTACTCAATTTCAGGCAGAAACAAGTTGGTATGTCCTTATACTTTTTGCCCAGGCTTGTTAACAAGCTTGTGCTAAAGAGTAATATATGAAAGCCATTAGATTATTTCCCCCCATTTATATTTCAAAAGTACTGATATGTTACCTTCTCCTAGTTAGATTCTAGATAACTTTGCCATACAACTATGCCAGTAAATATAATTTTGTAGAGCACTAAAGTAGAGGAACTAAAACTAGATAGCATTCTCAGTTAGAGAAAAGTGAAGATGAGGCAATTTATCAGAGTATGAAAAATCGTTAAGTACTGTAATGAGATGCCATATAACAATTCTGTGCTTTGCTCAGTATAATGGAGTATAATGCCCCAGCTGCTGGGGTTTAACCTAAGTCTTCCTAGTGGCATTGCTGTATTGTCGGCAGTGCAGTAATGCTGTCAAAGAAAAAGGAAGGAGGTGTTCTCTCAAGCAGGTATTCCTGCCTTGTGTTTTAATTGTTGTTTTTATGTTTTTGCATGTGAAATTTATCTTTATTATAGTTGTTCTAATGGTTTTTAAGATGTATTTTAGTTATGTATGTTTTTAATTTGTTAATTGCCTTATTGGCTCTGATGAGAGCAAAAAGTCAAGGTATACATTTTGCTAATAAATAATAAATATGGACAGTTGCACCATGTTGACAAGGAAGGGGCAGGCTCCCCTCTGGTCCTGAAGTCCTGATGCAAAGTATTGCCTACTCTGCCTGGCAGCAGCTTTCCAGGGTCTTTGGGCAGAGCCTTCCAAGCTGTGTAAACTAGTGCAATGGTGTGTTAGGCCTCAATGGGTAATAAGGGTATGAAGGATGTACCCGACAGAGAGGTAGACCTGAATGTCCTGTCAGGTATAGGATGCTGGGGTAGCAATCACAGTATAACCTTGAGCTTCCATATTTAATAGAGTTGGGCTATGGTTCAGACTTCATTGCTTTTGAGACAAGGCAGGACAAATATTTGTACTAAAACTAAAATTAGCTGTGTATGGGTATATGTACTTTATACTCTGCTATTTCCAGTAGTGTGTTGTTTGAGCTAGTCAGTCTGTGAGCCTTCTTTGCATATAGTTGTAGATGAAGAGGGACAGGCACTGCAAGCTCAGAATGCTAACACCTGATGCAGGTTTGTGTTGTCTTCAGTGAAGCTCAATGACCTTGTGACAAAACAGTGTGCAGTCATTACAATGATTCTGAGTCATAAGCCTACTTTGGTGCATTGATTTGTACTTCTAAATTGAGCAATTGTATAGAGTGCATTATACACTTAAAGTAAGAAATGACAGTATGACTTGCTCTATATCAGTTCTGCCTATGGGAACTCTTCCTTTTTGTCCTGATAGCTAAATTAATCCTCCATGTTGATAGGCAGAGTATATTCTTGGATAGCAGATGCAAATAGGATGGTGGCTGCATCTGTACCTGTTTGGAAGCTTCCCAGAAGGGTTTGTCTGAACCCTCTTGGACCTAGATGGAGGCCACAGGACACTAAATACAGGAAGAGGTCTGCCTAGGCCCTGAACCGGACACCAATTACCACCCATTTGCATTTATGTTTACTGTGGCAATGTCTGTTTCACAGAAACAAACTAGTGGAGCTGAGAGATGAGTGACTTGGCCTGTGCTACAGGCTGAGGTGGGAGTCTTAATCTTAAATACCAGAGTCCTTTGATCAACATTTTCACCAATGCTGCGCTATGCCATGCTCTGAATTCCCACTTCCCACTCAGGAAAAACAGATTGGGGCAGGATTACTTCTTCCCACTCCCCCAAACTCCTCAGGAAAAACAGATTGGGGCAGGATTACATAACAGTGGTGCTGTTTAAGGCTGCAGTAATGGAATGGTTCAGGAGAATGCTCTTATAAGGTATAGGACTGTAATCTCTTGAACTGTTTGTGTGTATGATCTTGATTTTCTACACTGTTTATGGCATGTCGTCTTACCCTTTTTTTGGCTATATTGTCTTCTAATTTTGTAATCATAGTCTTATTTCATTCGTCACTGGACATCTTATGCTGTCTGATTGCATTGTTTGTATATTTTATAATCTGCCTTGAATCTTGGCAAGAAAAGCAAGCTATCAATGAAGTAAATAAGATATTGCTTCTTCACACAATGCCCTAATTAATGGAATTCACTGCTGTAAGGTATAGTGATGTCTACCATTTTAGAGGACTCTTTAAAAAGGTAACATGTATGAAGAATAAACCTAATCCATTATTATTTATGAAGCTTAAAGTTTCTTCCATGTTGTACTGTAAATATCAAGTGCTAAGGACAAACAGAGGACTTACCACCATCTTCATAGGCTGTGAAACCATCTTGAGTTGCCATCATGCAATAAAAACCCTGAGTAAATGGTGCCTGTGAATTATTGCAATATAAACAGACCTGAAGTGTTATTACTATGGTTATATTACCCTCTTCATAAAACACAAGAGCACAAGCTCATGATTTAATGTTAAGATGCCTTTTAAAACCCCTGCACTTACTTACATGTACTGCTATACATACTGCTTATATTTATTACCATGGGCTGTAATATGTTTATGCTGATATCCTATTTCCTTTTTTACAGGTTAGACATTCAAACGTAGGATTGTACACATTAAAGCATATTAGATTTGTTGTTGTTCTGTTCAAACACCTTTTGCAGTTCACATGCATCCCCCTGCCCCCACAAATTACCAAACATGTAAAAGAAAAATAAACTGGTCATTACAATGATGATCCACATTCTTACCACCACTTGAGCCCTTATCCAGTATTGAACTAAGCAATGAATATTATAGTTTGGACTAGAATGCAGATTGGCCGTGTTATAATCATTAGGCAATCATTTGTAAGCCATTGTCTAACTACTGCTTTAGAAATTAAAGTGTTAAGTATCAATAATGAGTAGTTTAAAATATCTTGAAAAAAGTTGTGAAAGTGAACAAACTGCAATTATTATATTTACTGAGATTTCTGTTTTCTGAATTTGTTAATGAATTCATTCTGATTATAACTCTTACTTGCATAACTGAGATCTGAGAGTGGCAGTAAATTACACTTGTGATGCTGTGGGATGTGTCAAATTGCTGGAAGAGTTTGAAAAGTCTGAACTTTTTTTACAAGAACTTTTTAATAGAAAGGTTATTCAAATGTACACATGAATTGTTTTCTCTCTTTACATTCAGCTGGAAAGGCAACTCCTGATGCACAATCAGATGCGAGAGAGGCAGATGGCTATGCAAATTGCTTGGTCAAGAGAATTCCTCAAGTACTTTGGGGTGTTTTTTGGACTTTCAGCTGTGGGTCTTACAGCTGGGTATGGAAAAGTTTGTTCTAAATAACTAAGATGCAGTATTTTAACTATACTTACTCTTTGCTTTATGTGTTCCAACTTCTATTTTCAAAGAAGCCCTGCCCAAACTAAGAAACACAAACTGCCTCATTGGGTGTGTAATTTATGTGTCCCAGTGTTTGAGTGGTATGAAGTGGAGGTGCTCCAGTGTAAAAAGTTGCATTTTGTTATGTCCAACTTTTTAAAAGTTTACAAAATAGTGTTCTGGTAGCTGTTTCACTTGGCGCTAGTAATAACCACAGTACTGTCCAATAGTTGAACCTCTTTCCACGTATCACATTGTTGAAAATGTATGTGCTAGATGGAAATTGGAGCCCCCTCCTGCTACAATCAATTAAGAATCTTTTGTATTTTGAGCATGGAAAATATAAGAATCTTATGCAACAAATGGCTAACTTCACATGTATTGTGTGTTTAAACTGATCATCTGGAAACAGCGGCATTTCTGTAATGTAGTGTAGTATGATCCCAATTAACAACTAACCAGGAAATGGAGCCTGCAGCTGTTCACAATATCTGATAGTGAATGTGATAATACTAAAAGCAGATAACAAAAGTCTACAGATAACAAACTTTTAAATAGCTTGTAGTATCAACACAAAATTATGTGTATCAACTGAGTCACAAACTAGAGAAATCCTTACTTGCAACAATATATATTTATAGTCACTGCATATTTTTACAATTAATCTTAACTTGTTGGTTTTATTTTGCCTGACATTTGGAGGGATATTTATTTGTAATTTTTTGAAACAGGGCTATTAAAAAGAAGAAGCCTGGACTTTTCCTTCCGATGGTTCCTTTAAGCTTTATACTTGCCTACCAATATGATATGGGTTATGGATCACTTTTACAAAGAATGAAAGGTAAACCATAGACCTTAAACAATACATACATAATATCAATTTGTCATCTCTGATGTACAATTATATAAATTTTATGTACATGTAATGTTCTTTTTTGAAGGTGAAGCAGAGAACATACTTGACACAGACTGCTCTATGCTAGAAATGCCAAAAGGACCCCTCACTTTTGAAGGCCTTGAAAAAGCCAGAAGAGCACAGAGCAAGTTTTTTATTGAAAGATAATTTCCTTGCACATCAGTGCTGCAGAGAACAAAGACACGTATTTGTAATCATGTTGCTGACTTAAATGATATGATTCAACAGAGCCCCTTCAAAAGGGCTAGAAGCCTCTCATTAATCAGGTATTTGATGGAAAAGGGGATCAGGGGATGACTGACCCTGGCCATCCCCCCCCTGAAGAGTTTAATTTTTTATGAGTCTGCATGTACCCCAGCTGTTTGGATCAGAGGGACTATTGCACACATATAACTCCTAGTTAGATCTGAGTGAAAATGTTTTTTGAATTATTGGAATGGTCAGAATACAATGTGCTTTATGGAATAAAACTGATTGTTTTTCTTCATATTTGCCTTTATATTTTATAGGTGCTACAGAACATCTTCCTGAACTTGTAAATGTCATCAGTGCCTTGTTTTCAGTGCATGCATTACAATGGTTTTCAAATAGTGTTTGTCGGCTCCTGTGAGGACTGGGGGGCACCTGGAGGGAGGATGCAAAGTTCCTGGGGATCCTGGAACAGATAGTGCCTTTCAACCCGCATCCAGGATTTGGGTAAACTGAACACCTTCCAGTAATCGATGCCTCTAATCCACTTTAGATTTGTGTGGGTTCCTGTACACTTAAGCCCTCTACACATGACCCTTCCGTATTGATTCGACAAGTGGAGAGCAGGAGCAGGCACTTTGGGAAAACAACATATCTGATCATAGGGAGAGAGTGTACATTTAGACACTTCCTCTGTTCACACACATGCTGTGCTCACGAGCCAGCAATGGCACAAGGTGGATCAGTGACCACTCGCATGGCAAGGGTTTTACTGTCCCATCATTCTAATGAGGTTTGGAAAGAACTGCAGCTTTTTATATTTCCCTGCATGTCGCTTTAGGAAGTGGGTCAGAGATAAGTACTTCTGTTCCTCATTGAATGTCAGTTTGGAATTACTACCCCAATAGATTCCTGCATAAAAGCAGGAGGCTGTATTCACAAGACTGGTTTCTTGTCCATCCTTGAGTTAATCTTTAGCATGGATGATTGGTGCTGTATTAGAGGCTCTAAAACTGGGGTATCAAACTAATTTGTTATGAGGGACATAAATGAGACCTTATTGGGCTGGGCCATGTGTGTCATAAAATGTAATGCCAGGTAGTGGAGATATAAACTTTATAAAGGACACAAACACAAAGATTTTTTTTACTTAAAATAAAAACATGCTTAAAACATTAGCACTCTTGCAATATTTTGTTTATTTAACAGTATCTAATAACTGACACCTTTTGCTCTCAATTATTGCATCAAAATGTCTGTGCTGTTGCAATCTTGAGTATGCTGTTCAGGTGTGTATCTGTAAGCTGTGGGCCTACTTTTGATTTATTGACATTCAGCACAGAAATCTCATGCTCAGAGTTCTGAGTCTAGGACCCAGGGGAAAACATGAAATGGCTGAGCAATATAGAGAGTCTGGCGAAGTAAGCTATGATGCAGCAGCAGCAACAGAACTGGAGGCAGGAGATGGCCAGTTCCAGTGCCGGCCTGATAGAAGCCCTCTGGGGGCCAGAATCAAAATTGCACTAAACTAGAAAAGTTTTATTCTTGCAATTTTACACTGCAGTCCTAAACACAGTCACATCCTCACTGATGCAGAAGGGTGTTCTCTATTGCACGGTTGATGGCTTGGGGGGGGAGAGACTGGCAAAGGGAAGGGAAACACATGACTGGAATTCGCGACCCGAGCCTAGGCGGCGTGCCTTGTTGGGAATGGCTTGCAAATATATGTGTGTCTAAAGTCTGTATTAAAGTCATTTGGTGCTAACTGCCATGCAAGAGAAAACATCTGAAAAAGTAGCTTCATTGTTATGTGTTTTGGCAGAACACTTGACTGTTGCATGGGGGACTTTGGGGGACATCTGCAGAGAAACAGAGTTGTAACTAAAAATGAGTATGGTCAGCAGCACTTTGGAGATTGCCTGTTTTGTAAAATTTAAAAAGTGGGCAGAGTTTCTGAAGAAGATGATTGTCCCTCTTCTCCTGCCAATGGGCTGACATCTGCCTTTAATGGGCCAGCAAAGTTGACGTTCTTAAACCTCCTAATAAGAGAGATTTCTGCTTCTGAGGAGGTGGTGATCTTGTGATGGTAGTGATACTTTGATGTGGTAAAGCCCACCTGTTCAGAAGATCATTTTACCTGTGGGACAGACTCTGCATGGTAACCACTCCACTGGTACATAATTGCTTGTAAAAACTATTATAGTGTAATAATTCAGGTGGGTAGCCGTGTTGGTCTGAAGCAGCAGAACAAGGTTGGAGTCCAAAGTTTCATCCAAGGTATAAGCTTTTGTGTGCATGCACACTTCTTCCATCTGAAGAAGTGTGGGTGGCACATGAAATCTTATACCTTGAATAAAATTTTGTTGGTGCACAGTCCACAAACTACTCCCATCCAGTGCATCCACAAACCTAGGGTTCTGCCAGTGAACTAGGGTTGCCAACTCCAGGTTGGGGAAATCCCTGGAGATTTGGGAGTGGAGCCTGAGGAGGGTGGGGCTTGGGGGAAGGAGGGACCTAAGCAAGGCATAATGCCATGGACACCACTTTCCAAAGCAGCCATTTGTCTGATCTCTGTAGTTTGGAGCTCAGTTGTAATTCCAGATCTCCAGATCCCACCTGTAGGTTGGCAACCCTAAACATTCATATTCAGCATACTAGTTCTGTGGGAAGGCAAGCTGATTTCCATAGGAACCTTTAGGAACTGATTCCAATCCAGTGTGGAAATAATTTTTGGACATAAGATACTGGTTCAGGCAAGATTTTGTATAGATGGGACAGAAAATAAAGCATTCTGACAACAAACAAGGTAAACAGATAAGAAACAAAAGGTAGATATGGCTGCATGACCACACTTCTGGTAACATGGGGGTGGGGCCTAATATGCTAATTAGCTGCACAGTCATGGGTGTGGCCTAATATGCTAATGAATTTCTGCTCTTGTGTGTGTTCTAATATGCTAATGAGTTCCTGCTGGGCTTTTTCTACAAAAAGAGCCCTACCTAGCTCTACTCCCTTCTGAGAGAGCCAGACATGGTACATCCTCCTCAGCTTCCTCTCCCGGGTCTTTTTAACATCCTGGTCATGCCTGGAAAATGCCCAGTAGCCTCCCTTTACCCAGAAGCCCTGTTGGGGCATGACCAAAGCCTGTGAGCAACCAACAGCAGCATTAGAGCAATCTCTCCCCTGCTGCTCCATTTTCTTGCTCCAAGGATAGAGCCAGCAGAAAGATTGTCAGGTGCCTGGCTGTTAAAGAATCATCAGTCATTGATCAGCTGGTTGGTATGTGGATCTTTAAAGGGTGTGTCTGTGATCCCAGTCGACCTAGTGGATGCTGGATTTGGCATTGTAGGGCACCAAGGAGTAACAGGGTTTGGCATAGTCACTAGCAAGGTAATTTAATTTTGAATTTATAGCTTGTCCTTGTCCTGTGTCTTGCACACATGGCAAAGAAAGTAGGCATACAATCACTTTTACTTATCACCAGGGGTCATTTCGTAGAAAAAGAGGTGCAGGAGCTCATTAGCATAGCTCATTAGCATATCTTATTTGCATATGCCACACCCCCTGACATATAGCTTGTCCTTGTCCTGTGTCTTGCACACATGGCAAAGAAAGTAGGCATACAATCACTTTTACTTATCACCAGGGGTCATTTCGTAGAAAAAGAGGTGCAGGAGCTCATTAGCATAGCTCATTTGCATATGCCACACCCCCTGACATCACCGGAAGAGTGTCAGAAGGCAACACCCACCGCTTAGGCTCCACTGGACTGTTTTGGCAGGAATGTTCAGGGACTGGAATGAGAGACCAAGGAGTGGAATGACAGCCCCTAGGGTAGGAGTGTTCTAGAACTGGAATGACAACCCCTGGGGGTAGCAGATGTGTTCTGGGACTGGAATGACAGGCCCCAGAGTGGAATGACAGCCCCAGGGTGTCCCAGGCTGTATAGAAATATTTAGAA